AACTGGTTAACTACGTTACCGATAAGGACAAATGGTTTCAATCTCAACAAACAGAATTTACAGATGCCATTGCTCTCAAGTGCACGGTAGGCCAGTAGAAGGTTTGCCCTCCCACTGCCTGTGTAATCTCTTCTATGACGTCGATCACGCCATGGTATGCAAGAAAGGGGGCTTCATATGCATTGAGGCATGACGAAGTAAGGGATCTCACAGCAAATATGCTGAGGGAAATCAGTCGTGATGTCAGGGTAGAACCGACCCTCCTTCCATTGGACAGTGAGTATTTCCAACATAGGACTCCAAACACATCCAACGAAGCCCGTGTTGACGTCAGTGCTCGAGGATTCTGGACGAGGGGACAGCGAGCCTTCTTCGCCATCAGGATTTTTTATCCAATGGCCGCATGTCACTGTAACTTAGCTCTCGATGCTGCACACAGGAGGAACGAGAACAAGATAAGGGCAGCCCAGAAGTTATGTTACAGCCTGGATGAGATGTCGACTGTCCTTCTCTCTCCTTAGGTCTGCTTTGCTCTGCCTCAGGGGAACGAGAGCATCGGCCCCAAAGCCGACAACAGTTGCAGTCACTGAATGCGGCATAGATCTTTGGCTCAACTAACTCAACACAGTCAGGGTAGCTACTTATGTATTAGGATATTTAATTTTAAGGTAATAAAATGGCGGCAAAGGTGTGGCTATTGGGGGAGGCTGGAGGCCATGGGATATAAAAAAAAAGTGGTGGTTACAGTAGTAGTGGTAGTTGCGACACACACGACCGTGATACTTAACACTATAATGTCACACACAGTCAATCATGATAGTTCTGGGCCGCTTGATCCAGCGCGCACACGCGCACACGCGCACACACACACACACACACATACAGAACAAGACAGTAATGCTCACAAAGCCACACCACGACTGCTACTATCACCACTACGACCACAAAAACTTACAACATACTGGAGAAATTGAGCAATGTTGATATTGGAATGTGTAAACCTTCTGGTCGACCCACTGAGTGACTCGCCTGAGCTACTTGTATATATATGCAAGTGTAAACCCCCGAACCATTAGACCCCTGAACCATCGAACCTCTGAACCATCGAACCACCGAACCCCGGAACCATCGAATCCGGAACCATCGAACCCCTGAACCACCAGACCACCGAATCCGGAACCATCAGACCCTGAACCACCAAATCACTGAATTCCTTAACCACTTTTCTAGTGTGAAATGTAGTACTGGCGTGACACTAGTTGACGTGACACTGGTTGACGTGACACTGGCTGACGTGACACTGGCTAACGCGACACTCGATAACGTGACACTGATAGACCTGACACTGGCTGACGTGAGACTGGCTAACGTGAGACTGGCTAACGTGATACTGGCTAACCTGACATTGGCTGACGTGACACTAGCTGACAAGTGGAGTAAATGTGATCCATTGAGGAGGTGATTTTATTAATGTGTTTTAATACAACCATGACTGATACCTCCTCTGCTCCTACACTAATACAGTACACGGTGTGGGCTACACTAGGGTGACGTAGTGTGGGCTACACTAGGGTAATACATGTGGGGGCTACACTAGGGTGACAGGTGTGGGCTACACTAGGGTAATCATTGTGGGCTACACTAGGGTAATACATGTGTGGGCTACACTAGGGTATACATGTGGGCTACACTAGGGTGACGCAGGTGTGGGCTACACTGGGTAATACATGTGTGGGCTACACTAGGGTGACGCAGGTGTGGGCTACACTAGGGTAATATGTGGGCTACACTAGGGTAATACATGTGGGCTACACTAGGGTAATACATGTGTGGGCTACACTAGTGACTACAGGTGTGGGCTACACTAGGGTAATACATGTGTGGGCTACACTAGAATGACACAGGTGTGGGCTACACTAGGGTAATACATGTGTGGGCTACACTAGGGTGACGCAGGTGTGGGCTACACTAGGGTATACATGTGTGGCTACACTAGGGTGACAGGTGTGGGCTACACTCGGGTAATACATGTGGGCTACACTAGGGTGCCAGGTGTGGGCTACACTAGGGTAATACATGTGTGGGCTACACTAGGGTGACGCAGGTGTGGGCTACATAAGGTAATACATGTGTGGGCTACACTAGGGTGACGCAGGTGTGGGCTACACTAGGGTAACTACATGTGTGGGCTACACTAGGGTGACGCAGGTGTGGGCTACACTAGGGTAATACATGTGTGGGCTACACTAGGGTAATACATGTGGGCTACACTAGGTGACGCAGGTGTGGGCTACACTAGGGTAATACATGTGTGGGCTACACTAGGGTGACGCAGGTGTGGGCTACTAGGGTAATACATGTGTGGGCTACACTAGGGTGACGCAGGTGTGGGCTACACTAGGGTAATACATGTGTGGGCTACACTGAGGTTGACGCAGGTGTGGGCTACACTAGGGTAATACATGTGGGCTACACTTGGGTGACGCAGGTGTGGGCTACACTAGGGTAATACATGTGGGCTACACTAGGGTGACGCAGGTGTGGGCTACACTAGGGTAATACATGTGTGGGCTACACTAGGGTGACGCAGGTGTGGGCTACACTAGGGTAATACATGTGTGGGCTACACTAGGGTGACGCAGGTGTGGGCTACACTAGGGTGACTCATGTGTGGGCTACACTAGGGTGACGCAGGTGTGGGCACACTAGGGTAATACATGTGTGGGCTCACTAGGGTGACGCAGGTGTGGGCTACACTAGGGTAATACATTGTGGGCTACACAGGGTGACGCAGGTGTGGGCTCCGGGTAACACATGTGGGCTACACTAGGGTGACGCAGGTGTGGGCTACACTAGGTGGCTACATGTGTGGGCTACACTAGGGTGACGCAGGTGTGGGCTACACAGGGTAATACATGTGTGGGCTACACTAGGGTGGCAGGTGTGGGCTACACTAGGGTGACTACATGTGTGGGCTACACTAGGGTGACGCAGGTGTGGGCTACACTAGGGGTAATACATGTGTGGGCTACACTAGGGTGACGCAGGTGTGGGCTACACTAGGGTAATCACATGTGGGCTACACTAGGGTGACGCAGGTGTGGGCTACACTAGGGTAATACATGTGTGGGCTACACTTGGGTGACGCAGGTGTGGGCTACACTAGGATGTCACATGTGTGGCTACACTTGGGTGACGCAGGTGTGGGCTACACTAGGGTGACGCAGGTGTGGGCTACACTAGGGTGACGCAGGTGTGGGCTACACTAGGTGACGCAGGTGTGGGCTACACTAGGGTTTCGCAGGTGTGGGCTACACTAGGGTGACATGTGTGGGCTACACTAGGGTGACGCAGGTGTGGGCTACACTAGGGTGACGCAGGTGTGGGCTACACTAGGGTGACGCAGGTGTGGGCTACACTAGGGTGATACATGTGTGGGCTACACTAGGGTGACACAGGTGTGGGCTACACTAGGGTGATACATGTGTGGGCTACACTAGGGTGACGCAGGTGTGGGCTACTAGGGTGACGCAAGTGTGGGCTACGCTAGGGTGACGCAGGTGTGGGCTACACTAGGGTGACGCAGGTGTGGGCTACTAGGGTTGACGCAGGTGTGGGCTACACTAGGGTGATACATGTGTGGGCTACACTAGGTTTGACGCAGGTGTGGGCTACACTAGGGTGATACATGTGTGGGCTACACTAGGGTAATACATGTGTGGGCTACACTAGGGTGATACATGTGTTGGCTACACTAGGGTGACGCAGGTGTGGGCTACACTAGGTAATACATGTGTGGCTACACTAGGGTGACGCAGGTGTGGGCTACACTAGGGTAATACATGTGGGCTACACTAGGGTGATGCAGGTGTGGGTTACACTAGGGTGACACAGGTGTGGGCTACAGTAGGTGACGCAGGTGTGGGCTACACTAGGGTGATACATGTGTGGGCTACACTAGGGTGACGCAAGTGTGGGCTACACAAGGGTGATACATGTGTGGGCTACACTAGGGTGATACATGTGGGCTACACAGGGTGACGCAGGTGTGGGCTACACTAGGGTGATACATGTGGGCTACACTAGGGTGATGCAGGTGTGGGCTACACTAGGGTGACACAGGTGTGGACACTAGGGTGACGCAGGTGTGGGCTACACTAGGATGACACAGGTGTGGGCTACACTAGGGTGACGCAGGTGTGGGCTACAGTAGAGAGACATTGTGTGGGCTACACTAGGGTGACACGCGTGTGGGCTACACTAGGGCTCAGGTGTGGGCTACACTAGGGTGACACAGGTGTGGGCTACACTAGGGTGACGCAGGTGTGGGCTACACTAGGGTGACAGGTGTGGGCTACAGTGGGGTGACACAGGTGTGGGATACACTAGGGTGACTCAGGTATGGGCTACACTAGGGTGACGCAGGTGTGGGCTATAGGGTGACGCAGGTGTGGGCTACACTAGGGTGACAGGTGTGGGCTACAGTAGGGTGACACAGGTGGGCTACACTAGGGTGACTCAGGTATGGGCTACACTAGGGTGACGCAGGTGTGGGCTACACTAGGGTGACGTGGGTATGGGCTACACTGGGGTACGGGTGTGGGCTACACTAGGGTGATGCAGGTGTGGGCTACACTAGGGTGACACAGGTGTGGGCTACTAGGGTGACGCAGGTGTGGGCTACACTAGGGCAGGTGTGGGCTACAGTAGGGTGACACAGGTGTGGGCTACACTAGGGTGACTCAGGTATGGGCTACACTAGGTTGGCAGGGTGTGGGCTACACTAGGGTGACACAGGTATGGGCTACACTAGGGTGACGCAGGTGTGGGCTACACTACAGTGACACAGGTGTGGGTTACACTAGGGTGATGCAGGTGTGGGCTACACTAGGGTGACGCAGGTGTGGGCTACACTAGGTTTGACACAGGTGTAGGCTACACTAGGGTGACACAGGTATGGGCCAAGCAACACGTTAGGTGGGGTGAGAGACAGGACTTACCAGCCTCGGTGGCGCCCATGCGTGAGAGGACGTCGGTGATGCCCGTCACTTTAGTACGGTCGTCTAGGAAGCTGCGTCCCTCCTTCATGGTGTCGTCGTCCTCAGTGATATGCTCTGCTCCGCTTTTGGTGACGTGGAAGGTCGTCCCTGACGACTGATCGACGGTGGCGCTGGAAGAGGAGTGAACCACACGAGAACCTGCGGCAGGAGAGGGAGGGGAGAGAGAAGTAGGGATTAGTTAGGTGGCCGTGTACTGAGGACCAACATTATACAAAGGTTCGTATGTCTGACGGCCTCACTATCAAGATATCCCCACCAGTACTATAATGGCGTCGAAACTTCCCGAAGACGGTAACTTTTATTTATGTTCAGTTATTGGAGGAGAGAAAATGTGAAATGAACCTTTGGTAATGTGATCCACTGCTGGTCTAACACAAGGCGCCCGTGTGTGTGTGTCGCGGGGGACAACTATTCTGACTTAAACAACTATAATATCAAGATTTGTGTAGTGGTCTTATCTGTAGTGTGGTACTCTTAACTGTAGTGTGGTAGAGTGGTGCTTTTAACTGTACTATGGTAGTGTGGTGCTCTTAACTGTACTGTGGTAGTGTGGTGCTCTTAACTGTACTGTGGTAGTGGTGCTCTTAACTGTACTGTGGTAGTGTGGTGCTCTTAACTGTACTGTGGTAGTGTGGTGCTCTTAACTGTACTGTAGTGTGGCCCGCAGAAGACAACGTGGCTGCCTCAGTTATGACAACAGAGGGAATATTTCATCATAAGATCTCAAGGTCGGGAAGGTTACACAGACACACGTATATGTTATGGTTACATCCGACAATACCAAGAACCCCGTGGCGACAGTATACTGAAGAAACACTCACGACGTTCTCACGGTCACAGGGGAAGTGTTCCTGGTCACTTATAAGTACTGAAAACATCATTAAGTATTGGTCACACACACACACACCCTGCCCACCGTATATTGTCCACATACGTCTGGGTAATTCATTATATCTATATATAAGAAAAGTCAGGTGATGGGGGCAAGAAGTTGTTTGTAGTGTGTAAATAGAGGTACAAGAATCCAGGTGTTAGGGAGGATATATTATTATTCTGGTACATCGGAATTATTGTCTAAAGATACACCATGAACGTCTTATTTACTTACACACACACACACACACACACACACACACACACACACACACACACACACACACACACACATCAACCAAACTTGACCAAATTTTTCCCAAAATAATTTAACACCATTAAGTTAGGTTGGTGGGTTCATTTTGTCTACGACCAGCACCCAATCGTCTACACAGGTCAACACAGGTCAACACAGGTCAGCGCAGGTCAGCACAGGTCAACACAGGTCCCTAATACTGAGGTGAAGCAATAAACCAAGGTACGAAGCCCTGTGTATTATTAACAACTTAACCAATTAAACTAACTAACTTAACCTAACCTAAACATTCTACCGAACTTAACTTAATCAAAAGGACTTGATCTGATTCACCAGTCCGTAACCGATCCAAACTCGTCATTAACCTACCATACAATAATCTACGTCATTAAACTAGCTTACATTAATCTACGCCATTAGTCTTATCTAACCTACTGTAACCTAAGTCAGTAACCTATCAACCAATGTCGCTTGACCCAGGTGGGGGAGGACCGAGCAGTTATGGCAGAAGGAGATGCTGTGTAAGGTAGTGGGTGTTGATCACAATAGACGTGAGGGTGGGTGGGTGTAACAAGCAGAACAGGGAGGTAGGCAGGAACCACGGCACCCACCTACTCACCCACAACAATGGTGCGCGCGCTCAGTGACGTAAAGCGGGAAGAGTTCTGTTCATATACGTCACGCCCACTCCATGACATTACAACCACGCTCACATGACCCCTAAACGCCCACGTAACCCCTACACGCCCACTCCTTTGTCACATCAAAAAGTGGTTAATTACACAACTCCTGTCTACCAATCACATTATCTATCTATCAAGCTTCCCTGGTGGTCAGAGAGAGAGAGAGAGAGAGAGAGAGAGAGGCCCCTGGACGAGCGGCTATATGGTGAAGGACATGGGCAGAGGAACGTAACAAAACACACACACACACACACACACACACACACACACACACACACACACACACACACACACACACACACACACACACACACACACACACACTTTGTAGAGTGATAGAGATGACACAGCAGGTGAATATAACATGAGGGTGTGTAGTAACAGGATCGGTAACTCACTGTGAGATGAGTGACGGTAACTCAGTCGGAGCTAAATGATGTTAAGTGTTAGCCAGTCAACACAGTAACAACCTAACTTATCGCAGCAATCATAATTTAGCCTAACCAAATCTAACTTAACCAAACCTAAAATAACCTAACCTATCTCGAAACGTAAACCTAAAGTAACTTGCCTAACTTACCTCCAAGAATCATAACCTCTAACCGAGCCTAACCTAACCTGGCGGTGACTCACACCTAAACTGGTGCATGAATATAGTGGTATCTCGGTGTGGCTTCCCTGTGTTATATTATCACACACACACACACACACTAAGAATACCCTTGACCTTTTACACGACTAAATGACCTTCATCTGGTAATGGACGCCCTCCCCGTGGTGACCTGACCTCCCTTATAACATCTCTATTTATGTATCTAACGAGTGTGTGGCTGAGGGGTAACACGGAGGACAGGTACAGTAGCTATTACAACATCCTGTGTTGGAATGAGACAACGGAAACTTAACTGAGAACACACACACATAAAGTTCACTCAGGTGTTAACACAAATTATTTCCTCAGAAGCCAGTAAACAGTGGTGTTGTAATAGGAAGTTTAATATGGAAATATTTTTACAGAATTCATGGTACTATTAAACAGGAACTGAACACGGAAATATTGCATCCTAAACCTTATATTTGTCACCAATTTTATGTTTAAGGAGTAAAAGCAACATTGTTTTATCTCAAGAGGCAAATGCCCAGAGAGCAGAGGTTGGCAGGAACAACATACCAGAGGGATAACATTACTACGCCTGAGTTATTAGGTTAAAAGTCTTAAGGCAGGTGATGGTTGGTGTTGACATGTAGGTTACCAAGTTAGTCGTATAATGTTGAGATGACTATACCTGTACCTTTATACCTGTACTTTATGTCTATACCTGTACTTTATACCTGTACTTTATACCTGTACTTTATGTCTATACCTGCATACTTTATATACCTGTACTTTGTCTATACCTGTACTTTTATACCTGTACTTTATAACCTGTACTTTATACCTGTACTTTATGTCTATACCTGTACTTTATACCTGTACTTTATACCTGTACCTTATACCTGTACTTTATGTCTATACCTGTACTTTATACCTGTACTTTATGTCTATACCTGTACCTGTACTTTATGACTATACCTGTACTTTATGTCTATACCTGTACCTGTACTTTATGACTATATCTGTACTTTATACCTGTACTTTATGTCTATACCTGTACCTGTACTTTATGACTATATCTGTACTTTATACCTGTACTTTATAACTATATATGTACTTTATACCTGTACTTTATGTCTATACCTGTACTATATACCTGTACTTTATACCTGTACTTTATGGCTATATTCAGTACTTTATAACTATATATGTACTTTATACCTGTACTTTATGTCTATACCTGTACTATATATCTGTACTTTATACCTGTACTTTATGACTATATCTGTACTTTATACCTGTACTTTATAACTATATATGTACTTTATACCTGTACTTTATGTTCATACCTGTACTATATATCTGTACTTTATACCTGTACTTTATGACTATATCTGTACTTTATACCTGTACTTTATAACTATATATTGTTACTTTATACCTGTACTTTATGTCTATACCTGTACTATATACCTGTACTTTATACCTGTACTTTATGACTATATCTGTACTTTATACCTGTGCTTTATGACTATATCTGTACTTTATACCTGTACTTTATAACTATATCTGTACTTTATACCTGCACTTTACAACTATATCTGTACTGTATACCTGTACTTTATAACTATACCTGTACTTGCACTTCATGACTATACCTATATTTCATGCCCATATCTATATTGATGTGGTAGAGAGAGGCGCTGGAGTATGCAGGCGGATGTGTGACTAGTGATTACCCGTGTTAATCTTTACTTAAGAAGATAATCAACATTATACGGTAAGTGAAGCCACACTCTTCACACACGTCCACACTCTCCATACACGTCCACACTCTCCATACACGTCCACACACACACACACACCCATACACGTCCACACACACACACACACTCCATACACGTCCACACACACACTCCACACACACACACACACTGCAGAGGTACTACTGGTGACAAAGGTATGGGTTGCGTGGTACACTTTACCTGTGTGCTGGGGTGGAGACAGGTGAGGGGTGTTCCCACGCGATAAACACACAAACACAAGTCCTCAGATGGCAGCGTGGCGAGCAACACTATATATGTACGTGCTGTCAGGCTTCCAGGCAGAACTGGTGCGGGAGTGTGGAGTCAGCGGCTGCCTGGAAGATGGTTGAAGGAGCGTGGCATGTGTGTGTGTGTGTGTGTGTGTGTGTGTGTGTGTGTGTGTGTACGTGTGTGTGTGTGTGTGTACGTGAGCGGACCAACGGCTTGTCGTCATCCAGCTGATCTGCCGCACTGCTGACCACAGTTTCTTCCTTCCTTCACCTCAACTCTCTCACTGTACAGTATCTCCCTCACCGTGTACACTCTCACCGTGTACACTCTCCCTCACTCTCCCTCACTGATAACTCATCCCCTAACATCACAATACAACACAGTCATACTAAAGACCGGCGGGAGTCAGAGAAATAACACCTCACCAGCAAGTGTGAACGATACTATAAGAGAAGGTGATAACCGCGGGAAACACTTTAGCAACACTACACCAGGCAACGTGGGGGCAACACTACATATTATACTTAGGAACACTTCACCTTGGAACACTACACATTGGAACACTACAATTTGGAACACTACAATTTGGAACACTACACCATGAAATACTACACCTTGGAACACTACACCTTGGAACACTACACCTTGGAACACTACACCTTGGAACACTACACCTTGGAACACTACACCATGAA